AATTTCACCACTATACGCAATTATTTTTAAAGCTCAATTAAATTAAATTACTTTCAAATATGCACTTTGTGTTTCCAATTCACGGGCATCATAGTCACCTGACACAGACAGACTAAAAATTAAATGTTTATGGCGACATTTCCACCCAACATGTCACTACTCGGGCATCAAGTAGTCGCAGACAAAAGGAAATTGCTACCTATTGATGTCTATCAATAAACCATAGAGTTACAAAGGATAAAATGTCCTTACGAATACGCGCTATTCTGTATATATTTGGACTCGCTTAAATCTCTCCACAATGTCTATGCGCTACCTATTGCCAATTTCAACGAAGTCGAGCAAAAAAGGGTGTGATACTACGGAGCTAGTAACTTCTACCATCGTGAGGTACTGGCACTGCGGTTAGAGGAAGTCCATTAAAGTCATCAGGAAGGAGCGTGGTGTCTGATTTTACAATGACTCTATTCGGAGGCCGCCGTGCTTCAACTCGGTATTCAAGAGATTCTCTTCGACGGTCTCTTCGACGCTCTCTTCGACGGTCTCTTCGACGCTCTCTTCGACGATCACTTCGACTTCGAAGATCGCCGTATCTCCAGGGACGCGGTACCGCGAACTATCCAACGGATGATGTCGTCAACAGCCTAAAAGGTGTGTTGAGTGCCTTAGGGGATAGGATCAGTATCCTCGGAAGCCATGATGAGGGTGATTCACCGGTGTTCAATAGCGAAATCGTAAGCTTAGTAAGCAGAATACTAAGCAGCAAATTACTGCGTTAGATGTTCGTGTGCTAATGTCAGTTTATCGAGTAAATACGACATTATACAAAATTGTTTAAATAAACAGAAACCATAATGAACGTCGGTTTAAATAAACAGAAACCATAATGAACATCGAACAGAAATCATAATGAACGTCGTCGGCCCTGTAGGAGACCATGGCCATGTCTCGGCTCCATAATGAACGTCGTCGGCCCTGTAGGAGACCATGGCCATGTCTCGGCTCCTGAGACGGGGCCAGGGCCATGTCTCGTCTCCTGAGACGGGGCCAGGGCCATGTCTCGTCTCCTGAGACGGGGCCAGGGCCATGTCTCGTCTCCTGAGACGGGGCCAGGGCCATGTCTCGTCTCCTGAGACGGGGCCAGGGCCATGTCTCGTCTCCTGAGACGGGGCCAGGGCCATGTCTCGTCTCCTGAGACGGGGCCAGGGCCATGTCTCGTCTCCTGAGACGGGGCCAGGGCCATGTCTCGTCTCCTGAGACGGGGCCAGGGCCATGTCTCGTCTCCTGAGACGGGGCCAGGGCCATGTCTCGTCTCCTGAGACGGGGCCAGGGCCATGTCTCGTCTCCTGAGACGGGGCCAGGGCCATGTCTCGTCTCCTGAGACGGGGCCAGGGCCATGTCTCGTCTCCTGAGACGGGGCCAGGGCCATGTCTCGTCTCCTGAGACGGGGCCAGGGCCATGTCTCGTCTCCTGAGACGGGGCCAGGGCCATGTCTCGTCTCCTGAGACGGGGCCAGGGCCATGTCTCGTCTCCTGAGACGGGGCCAGGGCCATGTCTCGTCTCCTGAGACGGGGCCAGGGCCATGTCTCGTCTCCTGAGACGGGGCCAGGGCCATGTCTCGTCTCCTGAGACGGGGCCAGGGCCATGTCTCGTCTCCTGAGACGGGGCCAGGGCCATGTCTCGTCTCCTGAGACGGGGCCAGGGCCATGTCTCGTCTCCTGAGACGGGGCCAGGGCCATGTCTCGTCTCCTGAGACGGGGCCAGGGCCATGTCTCGTCTCCTGAGACGGGGCCAGGGCCATGTCTCGTCTCCTGAGACGGGGCCAGGGCCATGTCTCGTCTCCTGAGACGGGGCCAGGGCCATGTCTCGTCTCCTGAGACGGGGCCAGGGCCATGTCTCGTCTCCTGAGACGGGGCCAGGGCCATGTCTCGTCTCCTGAGACGGGGCCAGGGCCATGTCTCGTCTCCTGAGACGGGGCCAGGGCCATGTCTCGTCTCCTGAGACGGGGCCAGGGCCATGTCTCGTCTCCTGAGACGGGGCCAGGGCCATGTCTCGTCTCCTGAGACGGGGCCAGGGCCATGTCTCGTCTCCTGAGACGGGGCCAGGGCCATGTCTCGTCTCCTGAGACGGGGCCAGGGCCATGTCTCGTCTCCTGAGACGGGGCCAGGGCCATGTCTCGTCTCCTGAGACGGGGCCAGGGCCATGTCTCGTCTCCTGAGACGGGGCCAGGGCCATGTCTCGTCTCCTGAGACGGGGCCAGGGCCATGTCTCGTCTCCTGAGACGGGGCCAGGGCCATGTCTCGTCTCCTGAGACGGGGCCAGGGCCATGTCTCGTCTCCTGAGACTTCAAGAGAATTCAGTCTTTTGTAGAATCAATCACACAGTGAACAGAATCAATCACCTAGGGGACATGAGCTAGCTGAACCTAGGGGACATGAGTCTTTTGTAGAATCAATCACACAGTGAACAGAATCAATCACCTAGGAGACATGAGCTGAACCTAGGAGACATGAGCTGACAGTCTTTTGTAGAATCAATCACACAGTGAACAGAATCAATCACCTAGGAGACATGAGCTGACAGTCTTTTGTAGAATCAATCACACAGTGAACAGAATCAATCACCTAGGAGACATGAGCTGACAGTCTTTTGTAGAATCAATCACACAGTGAACAGAATCAATCACCTAGGAGACATGAGCTGACAGTCTTTTGTAGAATCAATCACACAGTGAACAGAATCAATCACCTAGGAGACATGAGCTGACAGTCTTTTGTAGAATCAATCACACAGTGAACAGAATCAATCACCTAGGAGACATGAGCTGACAGTCTTTTGTAGAATCAATCACACAGTGAACAGAATCAATCACCTAGGAGACATGAGCTGACAGTCTTTTGTAGAATCAATCACACAGTGAACAGAATCAATCACCTAGGAGACATGAGCTGACAGTCTTTTGTAGAATCAATCACACAGTGAACAGAATCAATCACCTAGGAGACATGAGCTGACAGTCTTTTGTAGAATCAATCACACAGTGAACAGAATCAATCACCTAGGAGACATGAGCTGACAGTCTTTTGTAGAATCAATCACACAGTGAACAGAATCAATCACCTAGGAGACATGAGCTGACAGTCTTTTGTAGAATCAATCACACAGTGAACAGAATCAATCACCTAGGAGACATGAGCTGACAGTCTTTTGTAGAATCAATCACACAGTGAACAGAATCAATCACCTAGGAGACATGAGCTGAACCTAGGAGACATGAGCTGAGACATGAGCTGAGACATGAGCTGAACCTAGGAGACATGTACTTTTGTAGAATCAATCACACAGTGAACAGAATCAATCACCTAGGAGACATGAGCTGAACCTAGGAGACATGAGCTGACAGTCTTTTGTAGAATCAATCACACAGTGAACAGAATCAATCACCTAGGAGACATGAGCTGACAGTCTTTTGTAGAATCAATCACACAGTGAACAGAATCAATCACCTAGGAGACATGAGCTGACAGTCTTTTGTAGAATCAATCACACAGTGAACAGAATCAATCACCTAGGAGACATGAGCTGACAGTCTTTTGTAGAATCAATCACACAGTGAACAGAATCAATCACCTAGGAGACATGAGCTGACAGTCTTTTGTAGAATCAATCACACAGTGAACAGAATCAATCACCTAGGAGACATGAGCTGACAGTCTTTTGTAGAATCAATCACACAGTGAACAGAATCAATCACCTAGGAGACATGAGCTGACAGTCTTTTGTAGAATCAATCACACAGTGAACAGAATCAATCACCTAGGAGACATGAGCTGACAGTCTTTTGTAGAATCAATCACACAGTGAACAGAATCAATCACCTAGGAGACATGAGCTGACAGTCTTTTGTAGAATCAATCACACAGTGAACAGAATCAATCACCTAGGAGACATGAGCTGACAGTCTTTTGTAGAATCAATCACACAGTGAACAGAATCAATCACCTAGGAGACATGAGCTGACAGTCTTTTGTAGAATCAATCACACAGTGAACAGAATCAATCACCTAGGAGACATGAGCTGAACCTAGGAGACATGAGCTGAACCTAGGAGACATGAGCTGAACCTAGGAGACATGAGCTGAACCTAGGAGACATGAGCTGAGACATGAGCTGAGACATGAGCTGAGGAGACATGAGCTGAGGAGACATGAGCTGAGGAGACATGAGCTGAGGAGACATGAACTGAGACATGGGCTATAGTAGCTGAGAGACAGGAGACATGAGCTGAGAGACAGGAGACATGAGCTGAGACATGGGCTAACCTGAGACATGGGCTATAGTAGCTGAGAGACAGGAGACATAAGCTGAGACATGGGCTATTGTAGCTGAGAGACATGAGCTGAGACATGGGCTATTGTAGCTGAGACAGGAGACATGGGCTATTGTAGCTGAGACAGGGCCATGTCTCCTGAGACTTCCAAATCTTTTGTAGAATCAATCACACAGTGAACAGCTGAGACAGGGCCATGTCTCCTGAGACTTCAAAAGAGTATTCAATCTTTTGTAGAATCAATCACACAGTGAACCGAATCAGTCACCTAGGAGACATGGCCTACCCCTGTAGGAATGGCCTACCCCTGTAGGAGACATGGCCTATTGTAGCTGAGACAGGGCCATATCTCCTGAGACTTCAAGAGAATTCAATCTATTGTAGAATCAATCGCACAGTCAACAGAATCAATCACCTAGGAGACATGGCCTATTGTAGCTGAGACAGGGCCATGTCTCCTGAGACTTCAAGAAAATTCATCTATTGTAGAATTAATCACACAGTCAACAGAATCAATCACCTAGGAGACATGGCCTGCCCCTGTAGGAGACATGGCCTGCCCCTGTAGGAGACATGGCCTATTGTAGCTGAGACAGGGCCATCTCTCCTGAGACTTCAAGAGAATTCAGTCTATTGTTGAATCAATCACACAGTCAACAGAATCAATCACCTAGGAGACATGGCCCTTGTATCAATTCAATCTATTGTAGAATTAATCACGCAGTCAACAGAATCAGTCACCTAGGAGACATGGCCCTTGTATCAATTCAGTCTATTGTAGAATCAATCACAGAGTCAACAGAACCTGCAGAATCTCGGATTGAGTCTGCCTCCAATTTTTTTTGTGATTGTTGCGGTGATTGTGGCGTAGGGAAAGGACGCCGGATTGAGGTTTTCAGGACGACGGAGTAAAAAACGCAAACCATTTGCGATAATTGCCATAACTTTTTTGGCAAGCCATACACAGAACATATGCAATAATTTTCTGCCCTGCCAAGATGCCATTATTTCTCAATTCTCAAAGATGAAAAGCGTTGGCTATTGCTGTTCATACAGTTTCCGTACACAGTTTCGCGCAGTCTTCAAATTGAGATTTATTTACATTAAATTCTATAAACATACAACTTCCTTACGGCATGATGGTTTCACTAAGAGGATATGATCTCCTAGCAGATCACAACCGTGTACTTACCTGTCCTCTGTGTTTCTTGTGCTTTAATGATCACTAGTTTGAAAAATTGCATGAAAATATTCTCATCATAATTTAGTTTACAGGAAACATTTTCGCGTACGCGGCTCCAACCCTGTCCATTTGATTTAACATTATAATACGAAGATTATTGGTAAATCGAGCAGGTACGGGCTCCTCTTCCATAAGGGTGCCACCAACTTCTCGCATATAGTTCCATATATCGTTGAGGATACAGTATAGATGGAATGAGTTAATGTGATCAACGATCAGAGGAACTTCCGCCAACGGACTTGGGAGCATCTTGCCCAAACCCATAAGTTTGAGTACCTTGACAGTCATGTCCTTCTGTTCAGGACACATATATGAATCTTGCGAGTTTTTCCAGAAGGTCATTTGACAACCCAATAGTGAACGGATGATTACGGCGGCCGAATTCAATGCGGGTGGATCTTCATTGGCGACCAACGTAAGGATCTGCCAAAGCATAGGATTGGCTCGAAAACTCTCTCGGATATCAACATCTTTTTCCTGGGTGGCCTTCAGCACGTCTTCCGTAGGCCACACCGGATGGTTGAACATCACGTCGGGGTTGACGATGTCACAAAGAATCGTGGCGATGCTAATCATGCCTTGGTGACTTTTATCGGCCGCGCAGCATTCTTTCAGAGCCCGAATAAAGCATTTCTGGTTCTCCCGAATCAGATAATCCGCCAGCACTTGGCCTATAGAAAACTGTTTCGCTCGTAGACCGTCTCCGACAACACCTGCTCTCATGATAGAACTGTGACTCTGCGGAAAGTTGATTGACGCAACGATTTTTCGATTTTCTTCGAGTAATGAAGTCATCGTATGCGGCTTTAGTACGCGGTCAGCGTCTCGCGGAATCGCACCAAATAGTCTACATGTATTTGAATCCGTTACCCCATCTAGCAGAAGGCGGAGCGCCATCTGTTGAGCGAGGGCGTTGCTACTTGTAGCTGAAAAGAGCTTTAAGGACGAAATCATCCATTGAATTTTTTTCTCATGTTGATCTTTGTCCGATATTCTTGCCGCTGCAAACAGGACCACCACGGCGGCGCATATGATCTTGTAGAGAGTAGACTCGGGGATTTCCTCTGAGGGTAAACTGCACACTCCTAGTAAACTGACGATCTCAGCCGTATATTCGAGATTGCAGTCGCTCGAGTGTAACGATAGAGTATCGGCGAACTTCCACAGGATCTTCTTAGCCCGCTCCTCAATGACAACCAGCTTCCTTAGGTTGCGTAAGACTAGGATCGGATCAGAAACTCGCCCTGAACGAAGTTCAACTATCAGTGCGTTGAGTGAGTCGATTAGCACGGTTGGCTGACTAGTCTCAATGTGCGATATGATTTGAAGAAAGATTGGTGGATCTGTTTTGGTGATGAGCATTTCAACAAGAAATCGCATTTTCTCCGAAGAGTGCAGGCATGTGAGTGAAATAAAACTGATAGTCCATGGACAGGTAAGATCAAGTTGACTTAAAAGTTCTTTGGCGCGTAGTTCAAACGACACTAGGAGCGGTACCGACGCTTTAGAATAAACACGCTTTTGCAGTTCGATAAGAAGTCGATCCAGAAACGAAGTCGTATAAGCGATAACTTCTTCTCGAACCTCAGCGACTTTTTTTTGTTTAATTCGTAGTGCGAGCGATAGAAGGGCAAGGGCTTCGTGCTCGTTTCGACCACACTTCAAGAATAGGTCTACGAAAACCTTTTGAGCGTTATGCATACCAGGAGTCTTATTCATCGTTCGAAGCCTTGTGTGTTCTACTAATCTGTTGAGGTTCGTTGCAGTCATAATCAGCGGCAAGTCACTCACCACAGAGGTAAGCAAAAGTTCAGACATGATGCTCAGATCAAGAAGATATGGAATGACTACAAGTTGTTCTGATGTTGGTTTGTCGCATAAGCTACCACTAAGCATGTCAGCTAACGCTTTTTTAATGTCGCCCGAGTGCTGACCAGCTAGATGACCCAAGATTCCAACCACAGATACGAGTTTATTACTGTCCACAACTCCCGGCTCCTGGGTAAGGAAATGTTTGAGGCCAACGGTAAGTACTCTGGTTATCACCGTGTGCGGGAACGATGAGCCAATATGCGCTACAACCCAATCAAAATGTGGTGAATAGCGAATCGTTGTATCCAGTAGAGCGTTAATACAGCGGTCGGTGTCGAGATCCGCGGCGTTCAATACGCATTGCGACGTGATATCAATGAGAGAACGCATTGGAGGGCATGACATCCACCGTTGCATGACTTCGGCCAATTTTAAACCGGATCGCCGATCTGCGAACTTTGAAGAGAGGTGCCCAAGTAACTGGAGCGACCAAGGGGAAACCAGCTGTGCCCAAACCGCTGGAGAGGTCTTTACTAGCGAGTATAAAGCCTGATGAACCTGCCGAATAACTACCGCCATTTGTGACGACGCGTTCGTGGATAAATTGCCTTGGGTAGGTCCATCTTGGGCTTGGCTTTTCTCAACCGCACTTTCAAACACCTGTTCGAGATGTTCAAGAACGGCTGGTCGGGACGCTGGCACCGCTTTTAGCAGGTAGATAGCACTTTGTGTGAGTTCCAATATATCAGAGCGTTGGGCCAGAAAAATTTTTAAATGCAACCTAGCTTGTTTCTCAATCGAAACGTTACTGCTATCTGGAGCAATCATTATGAGCTCGAACTGAGTTCTCAAACGAACTCGGCTGACCGTCTTTTAAAGGCGTTGCATTATTAAAGAATGAAGCACAACACACATTCACATCGCCGGGTAACAATCATTATTTGCTAGTCAATAAATGCAACACTAGCTACATTACCAACTAATAGATTAAATCATGTTTTATTTGACTTATGAGCAAAATTGTTCTTAAGAGTCTTTCCAGCAGGTGCTGAGTGAGGTCTCGCACTGGTGCACACGGTGCGGCCAATCGAGCGCGTGGCCTTCTTCGTCGTTCTCGTCAAAACAAAACGCGCCTTTCCACAAATTCAAATTTTACGCGGGCAGTGATTCTGCACTATGATTGAAACGGCTAGATTTTTGGTTGGAGAAAGACAAAGACCCGTCAAACGGCTGACTCAATGCGCGGGACGTTTTAAATCATTACAAAGCATGATGAGTAGGTATTTATAAAAACAAAAAGTTACTAAAGCCTCTATATTCGTGTCTTTTTTATATGAAAACATTGGACTAAATAGAACCTAAATTCAGCCTGAAATGCTGTTTCGAATGACAATGGAAATTACAGTGTCTTCATAAATGTTATTACCGTTATGAATATATTATTATTATCATAAAAGATTCATTTTATTGGCAAATTTGGTTCTATTCGGTAAATATTAGTTCTCATTCTTCCATGCCATCGACACGGTTTAATGTGTTATTCAAAAAGAGTACACTAAAAAATTTTCGGAAAACTAGTATACCAGGATTCGAACTCACGAAGTCTGGGTCATCGAATTTATTATCACACATCTCTTTGTAGGCCTATTATGTTCACAACTCACACAATAATGTTCTGGCCATATTAGGGAACCACTCAGAATTCAATGAAGCTCCTATTGAGTGACCAGAAGCTTAATTTACGAGATAGTAAGGACCTTAGCAGCCTGACAAACCGCAAAGGCTAAAAGATCTCGCTACCGAATGCACCACGACAATCATGGGAGTTTTGATGCTCGGAAGGGTTTCATTACCAAAACATGTTTTTAAAATGTCGCTGTACTTTATCGTACTGAAGAAGTATCATTTCCTTATAGAGCGATTCCGTGACACACAAGAGCAGGCTTAATTGCCCTTGAGCACAGACTTGCCTTTCGGTTATTACTAGCGCTGTAAAAAGGTAAGTTATTAATATCGAAAATATAGTGAAAATAATATTGAAAATATATCCTTTATAAGAAACGAATTAGGAAAATCAGCTTATACTAGCCTTATAATATACGTTATAATAATGTATACATTTATAATATATCAGTTTCCAACATCTATAATAAATAGATATTCATTTTCTTATTTGTGTCTATGTCGAGCGGCAAGCAACCGCATCTGGACTTGTTTGTATACAAATCTTGTTTTGTAATGGAATATGTTAAACCAACGTTAGAAACGCAATATTTAAATACATTATAAGTAAGAACTGGTAAGGAAAGTTAAATGTGTCAGCTGAAGATGACGTACTGAAGATGACGTTACTGACGAAAACGTACTATCTAGTCTTAACATGTTTATTAATACCGACTAAAATAATTCTTCAAAAATGATCGTGTTAAGCGTACCTTTCTTAAACCATAGGGCTTTTTTTAATACGCTAAACCCCCCGGCTTAACTTAAATCCTCGAATTTCACCAATCCAGCCCTATTGTGTGTGATTCGTCAGTGAAAATGTATTGGATAATCTCCGATCAAAGCATACACATCTAATGCTCTGCACCTCTCGACGACATGTTTAGTTCGATAGCCCGGAAAGCCGACCAATCCCAACCATATTTTTAATGTTATTGTTTCTGGTATGAGAGCGGACAACAGAGTTGCATTAGCAGACGACGTCTTTCTATTCGTTCACTCATCCAGTGGTTGTCGAACGATACAGGGGAAGCATGTGTGATAGATATATATTCATCGATCAATTGTCATGTGAACAGTAGTCATTGCCAGTGTGAGTTAAGAAACGATCGGTGTGCTCACCTCGGATGTCTCAGGAGGCGCCCATGGGACACGATAGCAGCAGGAAAGTATTAATGTTAGTTATTAGAACTGCTGTATGTGAGTGTTGTCTCTGTTGAGCTATACTATGTAAGAAGTGAAAAAAACGTTTTATGGAAGTTTCGCTTTAAGCGTGTCGTTTGTGCATCGGAAAAGGGAGACCAAGCGTCTATCGGCTCTCCCTGCATTCCGACATTGGAGTCGCAATTAGACCAAAGCTCTATCTGATAGGAGACAGGTAAGTTTCCCTGAAGACGAGAGATACAGTAACTAGATAGAAATAGGCGATACTTCCTCTTTTGCAATTGTCGTTTGACAAAAGTCATGTGGGTGGTAACGGCTACGATCGAAGTATAGAAAGATACGGATTCAGCAGATATTGAAAATGCTGAATAGCACAGAATAATTATGCGATATTGAATTGCGCTTTTTGAGACGTTACGATCTGTTTTGCGTATTCAAACGAAACACGAAGTTTGTTCTAGACGGGAAGGGATAGCGAATTCTCTGTGAAGTGTCTAGCTGCAAGACTTTTTGCCTCTTTAGCAAGTACTTAAAGTCTACAAGTCTTGGGCCTTTTTCGTGCACAGTATCACCAGAGAAAATCTATAAATAGTTTAACAAAACTTTGCCAAATTTGCTGCGCATACGGCGGGACATTTACAAGAAATACCACGTTGTGCTCTTTCTACATGTAACAGCTGTGTTAATGCGCACATGTAAACATCAATCCATAGACATCTCGATAATTCAAAGCAAGTAAATATTTTATACAATTTCCCATACTGTAATTTCTTATTGCGTCATAAGATATTTGCCTTGTGGCGTTTTTCGTATGGTGTTTATTAAAAGTTAAGGGTTTATGTGACAAGAGCCAGTCGACTACGATGTAACCGGGAATTGTCTGACGATCGTCAAAACCATGATATTTTACGTGGTTCACCGAGTACCTCTAGAGATTTAAAAGTTTTTTATTTATTCAGATTTATTTGACGAAAAAGCGCCGACATTTACTATACTCGATTGGGTCAAAAGTGGGACCTACAGTAGCTTTCAATTGGCATACCGCATCTCATTCTCTTTGAAGGCTTTTGGTTTCAAAAAACCATGACATCTTCATCAGGAGTCCATCCATATCTATAATACTTTTGGCTCGTTGCGGTTATTATGTTGACCAAGAGTTCAACTAGTTTGATAGACAGGGTCAAAATGTCACTATTACAAGTGATGTTCGTTATTACAACTAATACATTTCTCTGCACTTGTCACGTGCAGTATAACTTGTAAAGTACTGAAGATAATTTTTTTAGACGTGCCCCCACAACGAGCTTACATTTTAAAAAGGCTAACGAAAAGGGACAGTATAGATAATACATTGAATTGGATCGTTAGAAGTGGACACGCGCGAATGTTTTTGTTCCATTGTCTTTTTTTTGTTAACTTGTGCGCACACGTGTATAAATAGAGAGATCAGATATTACATAAAATAGGGGAATTGGTCGATTTTGCAAATTATAATAAAATCATCGAGTATAGTTCTATACGGAAATTTAAAATCGAACAGCATATAGAAAATAACTTTGTAAATACAGAGAAATTTTTAAAACATGAGCGTATTTATATTTTTTCGTATGTACAGCAGTATGAAAGCGAGTAATATATGGTCTACGACATATTTTTTTACAGAAATAGTCATTAGGACGGCAATTAAGTAGGTGTCGTCGTCCAGCCTAGACAACTTCTTTTCTTGTGTGCTTATTTGATTTACAAGGATTTCATTCATCACTGGCTTAATGTACTAACGATCACCACATTTTACACAATGTACTACTGCCGATTACAAACGCAATAGATAAGCTGGTAAACATTATTTTTCGGCATTTTCTCGCACAAAATGTCAGTGGCGCAAAGAAGCAAACATGAATTAATAATTAGATTTTAAGTGGGTCCAGCTAGCGAGATCGTACCTAATACTGAATGCATGGTAAAGACTCCAGGTCTGTCACAGAATGACCAAAACAATTACAATTATGTTAATTATTCTTGAGTATATTCATATTTACTTAGTTAAAATATGGAAAATAATATTAAATTAGTTTTAACTAAGCAATGTGTTAGTATAAAAGCAAAAGAAAGATATGTGTAAATCACGATCCTCCTTGGCGACAAGTTGTAGAAGAACTGCATTGATTGTTGAGCACATAATAGGGTTCCATTACTATAGATTAGCCTAAACAATTAGGTTAACATACGGATGATTCTGAATATGATTAGTATTGTGCTGCACGGTTTTCATCTTCTGTTATCACACCTTCTAATACTTAGATGCCAAAGATTTCCCATAACCTTGTACACCAATAAGCTTATACGTTATAACTTTTACATTTCGGTTGAAATTTAGTACCAAGTTGCAGCTATTTTCCAATTTACTTTTATAGTTTTTGCTAAGTACATATGAATTTACAATGCCCCAGTCGAGTTAGGTTTTTGGTATTGCCTTGGTAATCACACGGATCGGACAGCACCAGAGTTTACGAAATCTGTTGTTCTTTCCCTTGGTTTTCAGATCAGAAAACATGTCCCTATCAGGATCCGATTCGGACGAATTTTTCGATGCGGAGGATGCATCATTGACACAAATTGCTAGCGAAGATTTGAGCACGGAGCCGGCTAGTCTTGATAGTGGAACGCACTTTTTCATTGATAAAGAAGCCCTACGTCTTAAGGCTGATGAGGTACGGGACTCTTATAAGATATTATGTATACATATATATATAGATAGTCGAAATGGTCATGTATTTATGCTGTACTGTAGACTGTTATTTTTGCGTTCAGTTCTGTACCTTCGGCTTATTTGAGCAAAATGCAGGCATGATAGGTCGTCCTTTAATGCTTAAGCTTAAAGCCTCACAATTCGGCGAGTGAATGTGACATATTTTGAAGAACGGATATGAATCTCGGGTTACGCATATCAATGGTTCGCTTAAATATTTTACATAAAACGAAATTTTTTTTTTTGAAAAAAGTTTTCAAGCTCAAAACTTATAGCTATAGGGAGATATCTGATGAGTGATTCACTTATTGTTTCTTATGCTAGTGCAAAAATTTAACTCGGCCACAGTTGCTAGCTATATTTATGATAGAAATGATAATGAAAATTCCAAAGGCGACGCAAAATATTCTTTTTCACTATATCAGCTTTCGGCTAATAAATTTATTTTTACGCATAATAATGTATTATAGTCCGTTGTGTATAATGATGGGAAGTAGACCTAATTACGATTTAAATGATGAATCGATAAAGACCCCTTTGGTGTAGTCACAACTAGATTTTAAGTTACATGTTTCTTTTCTAAAGTTGTAAGTTTCCTATTTTTGTATTGTACTGGATTATGATCGTACAGCCGTAAATGTTTTTGACGATCAATTTCCAGGACATCGAACCACACACCTAATAACTGTTTCCGTCAACATTACAATTGGCAAAAACAATTTCTCTCTATTCTTCCAGGTTACCAAAAAGTGTCTATTTTACACAGATAAAGAACTCATCCACAATGTATTAATGATTAAACAGAACTCTTAAATCTGATCTAGAAGGATATGTTGATTAATTATATTGCCCAGTTCTAAAAGTCAACGAGTATTCGTGCTCTGTAGTCTGTGAAATTACGTTTACGAGCAGAGACGAATACTAGATTTTTTCGTAAAGATCAGATCCAAAAAAAATGTTCTTATTGTGCTACTGAAAACTTCTCCGTGCACTACGGCATGATTTGTAGTCTGTTGTTTTCTTTATAAACTCGAGGTTGTGAAGTGGTTAAACAAATAGTGTAATTAGATTTGAAGTGGACAATTCTTGTACGAAAAGAACTGGATTGAAAATATTATGTTCTGCCTGTCATAATATGTGTATATATATATACAGTATGTTATAATATAGTACAGTTTGAACAAAATAGTTTCACGGGTGTCTGATGTTGAAACGAGTAGCTGTAAAGCCAGCCGGTGGCATCAGTGTATCTCATTTACTAATATGTTGTCGCGTTGGCGCATTTCGGCTTATATCCGCTACTGGGTTTATGATTATTGCGATTTGAATCTTAGCTGCCATTTCATGATTTCTGAACTTGGTGTACTTACTCCTAAACATTGTTGTGATGAGTCTGCCGTTTGCACTATTTTCAGATTTGAGTAAACTTGTTTTTTCCATTAGATTTCACTGTCTTTAAACCAATTTCTTTCTATGTAGCATTTGGTTCGTGATATCCAATCCATATACTTCTTGAAGTCTTTTGCTAATTTTCGTGTTGTTAATACTGAAACATATCAATCTCGGTCTAACTCGCATAAGAAGACCTGCGCAGGTGACTCGCGCTTTCCTTGTTTTCGTTCGTTCCTAAGGACTCTTGTGCTATTGACATTTCTATGACCTTATGTTTCATTTGATCATTTAGCTTTCGCTTTCGTTCTAAACCCGAAAATGGATGCTCCAAACATCCCTTTTACGAACTGCGTTGCCTACGTGCAATTACATTTAATTGTATTGTTGCACTTCTGACTAAATATTGTATTTTACTTACTGTGCTAATCGTGTTATAGCATTTAGCATTGTTGTCCTATTCGCTTATTACGATTCGTTTGTCGCTTTGTGTGTATAACAACTGTCTTCCGTTTGTTATTGTCCTTTTTCAATTGCGACTGTTAATCTGGTCTCTTTCACTCGCGTTCGTTTTTTTTTTTTGTTAATACCATCTGTATTCACAAGTTAAATGTAAATTAAATAAGAGAAGACAAGTTAAAATCTAAATACTTGTTTTCGTCTTGACACTCTACTTTTTTGCTCGTGTAAATAATTCCGCTTGTCCTACCTTATTTATGAATGATTATCTTTGCACATTTTTTTGTTGGAAGGCCGCCTTATTCTAAGAATTTTCATATATGTGCAGCATTTGTCCCAGTTCAGAGGCCCTTTGGCTAGATCTACCATATCGTCGTTAAGCAACAATAAAGGTCCCAAGACAACTTCTTTTTTATCTTATACCCTACCTCGAAATTTTAGTTGCTTCCATATGCCATACTCGCTGCTGTATCCGTATGTGTACACACATAATATGGAGTGTATACGCATGTACATATATGGGATATGGCTATGGAACACGTACATAACATAGATATCCTTGTTTTAACCCCTGTGATTAAAAGTTATTCGATTTTTATCTGTCCTAATTCGAAACCATTTTTTCTCGTATTTTCCCTTAGTCCACAAATGTCCAAAAATGATGTTGTTCCTTGCCCAGTTAATCGTCTTTAGCACTTCCATTTTGTAGACCTACCTCAATTCTGATACTGCCGTTTTGCTTTTATATACACCTCTAAGTGGGTTAATGCCCACCATTGCTGTACGACCATTTCTCTATCTTTTCTCACAGTGGTGCGCACGAAATACATGTGCGCGTTTCTTGTATTAGCTTGATTGGGCCAATCTTTAGCCTTGTTCAGGCATTCTTCAATTCTATATTTCTCGTTGGTTCTCTTGTTTACTTCTACTTCTCTAGCTTACTAATAATCTCTGTAATTATGGTTGGTGGTTACATCTTCTGTTTTTGATTTACTGTCGATTCCCTATAATGTGTAGCCTTTTCATTTGATGGGGCATAGTCGATAATTTCTTTGTTATTTTTTTTTTTGTTTTATATACATGTGTTTCCGTTTACAATATTTACACACTGATATATACACAAAGGCGTGTTTGAGTTTTTGCTTTTTACCACCTCGTTATCTGTTCGGTTATCAAACTACGGTGAATACGCACTTAAATTAGCTATTTCTTTATTTAATAGTTTCGCAACTCTATTCTGTGGTGACACTAGTGAACAAATCAATAACCTAAAAAGTCTAAGCTTAAAACGAAACCCTCTATTTCATTGTATAAGTAAATGATTATATGTTTGAATATTGCATTATAGAAATTAGAAGCAGTGGAAATAATTGTGAATGAAGGTAACATTGGGGAATCTAACTATATCCTTGGCCTCAACCTAACTTAATTAGGTTGAACAACGGGCCCGGCGGATTGAGGAGCGACGTCAACGCCTTCTTCGAGAAGAGGAAGAACCTTCTCATCCTGGCACTTCAGCATTGCCAGCTCATTTTGACGACGAATCCAGCTCGTATTCTGAAAGTATTGCCTCGTCATCCGTTGAGGGACTTTACCTTACGAAGGTATTCATCTAGCTTTTAGATTTTTATAATGATTATCTAGTGGCGTTCCATAGTCGTATACGTACTGGAACCAGTTACTCTTGAATGTTAGATATGTCACCGCATATACATAATGAATCTCGTTATTGTTAACCTTTACTGTCTGTTCAGCTTAAGCAGCAGACCCCGCTAACATCAGCGGTAGCCCATCAACCCTCGAGTTCATCGTCGTCTTCACCGTCGCAGCTGCTGCCGGAGAACCGTCTGCAGCCTCTGGCCAACAGTGCAGCTAAATTTTCGTCGAATAGTTGCGGTGTTAAACGGGCAGGTGTCGGAAAAAATGGAACGAATAACAGCAATTCCCACAATACGAGCAATAACAACCACAGTACTAATGAACCTGACCTTGTCGCGTCAACAAAGCCACCGACGAATTTCCCACAGGAATTCGTACCGCCGATTGCACCCCCAAGGTACGGACCATAATTCACGAACTAAAAAGGAATAGTGATGCATGCGGACAGATTATTAAACGAAGCTTGTCCATATTTTTAAAATAGATGGCCAGTATTTTGTGTTATTATACCCATATTAGTGCGTGAATCTTATAGTGGTTTTCATTGCTGTATTATTGGTCGTTAAGGGACTCGTATACTTGGCAACAAAGAATCAAAAATCAGTGGATCAACAACAGTACAAACCTGCAAATTATGCGCAAATATAATAATATTGTTAGCAACAGCGCATGCAGTGAGAAACAATAGTAAAGCACAAAAGACTGTTATACAAAAAGTTGCAGGTTTGCTATGTAATGAAAGATTGTTTCAGATGGCGAGGTTGAAACGGGCAAGAATCGCTAGTGGAAAAGCCCTTCATGTGACATGAAAATGTTTTCACATTTTTCGCAATCAGCGGCTTATTTTCTATCACGTTACAGACGTCGCAAAACGTCGCGCTCACGAGCAAGTTATGCCGAATCGCGTCGCTCGCCAAACCCTTCTGCATACGACAGTGAGGATGCAGTTTCGATAAACTCTGTAGTACCTCTTGGCCTCCCGGCACCACCCGTTGAAACACCGACTTCGTCGATTGGTAGAGACTTCTCGCTGCCAATTGAAAATGTCCAGAGGGGACAGTTCGTCGTTAAGCCACAGGTCCTAAAAGTTCATTAAAACATATACAGTGTCTGTTAGGTAAACACAAATCACTATGCGCTTTTCTACAGTTATGGCATTTGATGTTTATGGAGTGAACAACTGGTTTCCTATTCTTGCTTAACTTTTTATGATTTCACGTTTTCGACGTTATATCTCTACTGATATTATCTGCCCTGCGTTTATAATACTTCCTCAGGATTATTTCAGTTCGACCTAAGAGCATGCATTCTGTGCCTTTACTTCGGTATTATATGTACGCACACATATGAACTGCATTCTTGACATTTTCAAGGCTCCAGACTAAATCTACTTACTATTATATTTAATGTGAATAATATTAACGCGAATTTAATTAGGTCGACGTGCGTTTACGTGACGTGTTTGATTTTGATCATTTGCCCCTAGGACAACGAAGAAGATAAAGGTTTATCAAAAGAGGAGGTTCGGTTGTGTGAAAATGCGACAGGAAGCGGGAAAGAAACCTCGAAAGAAGGCACTGGAGGAAGATTGCCTCGAAGGTCAAGCAATGCTAGCGTGAAAACGCTTGAATACAAAACTCCCGAGAATTCGTTAAAGGCGACGAATGCATTGCCACGTCTAAGGACAGATTCTGGTCGACAGTTGTCAGACTTAGAGATACTAGAACAAATCGAAGTGCTCAATCTGGACACTGGCGAGAAGATTCCATTAAGTGTAGCTGAAGACAAGCTGCCGCAGTGCGTTAATCCTCTCAGTTTACATTTAATGCGGATCACGCAAGAATATGTGAGGTGAGTAGCTGTTGTCTTCAATGGAGAGAAGGTCTGAGACATGCAGTAAGTGCACTATAAAATCATTAAACGAACGTGTTAGTTGGAAATGTCAGTTCTAGGGATAAGCTTCTATACAAGAACGTTGCTTAGAGGAGAATGCTCTTTCGTGAGACATTGAACAGCCTAAAACCTTGTTTATAAGTAAATCTAAATGAAATCCATTGGACAGTAGTGTTATCCCGTTGTCAGCGCAAAGATTGATGGTTAAGGCCTTACGCATTATTTCTTTGGCACCTACAGTATAGTCGTTCATCAGAGTTTATCAAGAAAATCTCGATAGTTGCAAAAAATATTTATCAAAATAAGGGTTTTGAAGCACCAATAGTATTTAGAGAACAAAAAATTACATATGTGAAAAGTACGTCTATTATTAATGTGATATTTACGTAGTTAAATTATTCGACCTCAATTTTTCACTTTCATTAGGTCGAAGCCATTCCCGAAAAAAAAAAAAAGAAAAAAAAAGCTCTATTTGATAGTTTTAACGATGGTAACCGTGTTTTCTCTATGGTTCTGGTGCTGCTCATGACGATCTGGTGACGGTGCATTTCTACTATGTGATTGGTTCCTTGCTGTAACTACTCTAACGATTGGCCAGCCCGTGGTTCAAAAGCCGCAAACAAAAGCGATACCTTCGAAGAATGAAGGAGCGTCTCAATGACAGCTCACAAGACGCACTCGACGAGGTGCCACCGTTGCACCGCAGTCTCAGCGAAGTTAGCGAATCAGCTGGCAATAGCGGACCTGAGGCAGGGGCCGGAGATAACGACGATCACAGGTGAACAAGCTCAAGAAAACGCTGTCCCCCTGCTGAGCACGATTTTGTTTTCATCAAGTTTTCATCGGTGGTTACGCCTGGCCTCGTCGGAAAACTCCTCGGCCTGACACGCGCCCACTGGCTCTACCTAGAAAATGTTTTGTCGTGCTTTCCATTTCCAGTATGCGTAACGATTGGCAATTGCAATCAATACGTTTGTTCCCAAAGAATGTTAGTTTTACAAGTCGACTGTTGGAACGGCGTAGATATGTCACAGATTAGCATGTTTCGGTCACTTAGAAAGATGTGCGTAGTCTTTTTCCATCCGTGTGTGATCGTTTTTGTTTTTTGACATATTTGAGCGCAGAAGCTGAAATAGCACGAATGACCCCGAAGGACACCGCTATTAATACCATTCACGTACGCCCGATATATGTTACATTTTTTTTGTTGCTATTGCAAGTGTGTATACGTTACGCTTTTTTTTTTTCAATTTTGAAAGTTTAATTGTTGCTATAGCGGTAATTTAGGAAAAATAACAATTTATGCTGACGTTTACTTAAACATCCTTAGAACTAATGGGTGTTAAATAAATTTTGAGAGACCGTTCGGTTTCGTTCGTCCGGTTGAATTGGATGTTAGTGTTAAATAAAAAAACGGCAGGCCTTTACGTGCCTTAAAGCACAACGAACAAGTGCTTGCTCTATTTGCCGTTGCGTGCTCTTATTTTGTGACTGGTGTGTAGATACGAAACAATGGCTAACAATTTTTTTAACAGAAATGTTTTTCTGTCTCTTGGTGAGCCTTAGTTTGTAGCGCATTCTAGTACGCGCTAACGGTTCTTCGGTATAAAATGCAAAATGTATGTTCGCTTTATTTGCGCTTTACTGTAGTTACGACCGTGCGTTGAAAAAACAGTATCGCTAATTGTTTTCAGTTCGACGACCAAATTGGATGGCGGCTCGGATATCGAAGGTGCCGGCCTTACAGAGCCGGCTACAGACGACCCACCGGACTTGGAGCCCAGCGGTACGCTGAAGAAAAAGGCGTAAGTTCTCTTTGAACATTTCAGTGATTTTTATTAACAGATAGTCTTTGTATGTATCTGTTGACGCCATCGCTGTTGTCAATGGACAGAAAAATGAGATTTTTTCTATAATTAGAAGAATCAAAAATGTATTGACTACAGGTCACTTCATTGTTCTCAGTAGTACCTTTTTTAGCTTTCATTAAGTACTACAGCCAACAAAATAGGAACTTAGATTATATTTTATAGACGCAAGCATGTAGGTGGAACCAAAGCGCATGCAGAGTAGAAAACCATCTAATCGCAAGAAATTTGATTAATGTTTTTTATTTTTAGCAGTATAGAATTTGTTATAAAGGCATTTCAATTTATTAAAAAAGTGATTTATGTAAGTGCATAAAGAAACTGAAACAAGAGGTGTTTTTTTGAAATAATTTTTCTATACAGAGAAAATAAATATCTAGTGCTCGATATCTTTTACTCTATGTAAGTGAAATATAAAATTATACAGAAATAAAAGAGAAATATATATCTGTGACGTAGTTAGGAGCCATGTAAATGATTTGCACAAGCGCTTCGGATGACAGGGGTATGAATATACTGTATTTCAAATTGGCATTTATTTTTGTATTACAGAAGTAAGTTGAAACAGAAGCTGAGCAAGAAACTAGAAGCCACAGTGACAAAGATTAAAAACGTTGCTGAAAGTGTTGATGAAAGTAAGTTTTCGTTGTTGCGAAAAGATTTTTGCTTATGCAATTGTTTTTACACAATAGTCTAAGTAGGCGCGTGCATGCCAAAATAGGCGCACGTAATGAACACTGTGTATTGCCACATATTGCTCATGCATTACGGAAACCTAGTCAATAGTAATACAAGGATCTATTTCATTCAAGCATCAGTCAGAATAGATCAGTTTTGTAACGGAAGAGCCAACGTAACGATCTAGGAAACTTTGGATTGTTCTAATCTTCTAGATACTACATTTAGAATTTGGTGATTTAATCTGCAGAAATTCAGCAGTGGCAGTCCCAGCATAGCCAGGAAGAACCAGCCGAAGTAGATCTTATGACATTAGACCCACAACCGGACAAAGTTAAGGTGACCACGTCCTCCAAAAATCAGAAGTCGGATTTCGACGGAATTCGGGAAGTGCAAGGTAGAAAAAATACAATTTTTAAGTGCTATTTTTCAGTAGATCAATAATAATGTTATCTGATAGATATTTAGATTAGCCTTAAACTCCAAGTGCAAAAATTATGATATCAGTATCTGTTTCTTCTGGTTTATTTTTTATATTCTTTTGTAGCTTTTTTAACTATTTTTGGATCATAACAATTATAATTTGTACTTAAGCTTTGTCAACCAGCTGTTGGGTTCCCAGACCGTTTTTCAATTAAAAATATTTCAGACTTGTTCTGGTAACTGATCTTGTTTTGCATTGTCTTGTATTGTTCTGTGTGGATTTGGTGCACTAGCTCTGAAAGGTATCCACCAAGGAGCAGTATGGACGATGAAATTTTCGCAGTGTGGTAGGCTATTGGCAAGTGCTGGTCAGGACCATATTGTGCGGGTCTGGGTCCTTAGAGACGCATTCGAACACTTCAATGAAGTTCGACGAAAAAGCCAAGCGAACACTGGGCGTGACCGGGAGGACAGTATCAACGATAACCGCGATTGCAATGCAGGCCAACTTCAAGATCTATTATTTGCTGGTAACCAAGTAAGTGCTATTAGTCTAAGTTGTCGATCGCAACGTTCGACTGCCTGTGACGTGAAGCGGAGGGTCTTATGTATTAAACGAAAAAATCTTTGTTTGACTTATCTACATGGTACATCCTTTACATCACGTATTATTGGCAGACTAACGGAGGTGGAATAAAAAGCCGTCTTTAGAACACTATGGTTAATATAATTATACTACAACATAATTTCATAGCACATATGATATGTGTAATTTATAAGTAACGATTGTTTTATTTCTTAGTTGCCACTATATTTATTAAGCTTAGCGACGTGTCCGGTATGGTTACAAGCCTGTATTCTAAATCGTGTTCCGTGATCTGCATTTCTAGCAGACTTCTAGTGTGATTTTTAACTGTGTGATTTTTTTTATCTAGGAGGCCGGTAATTCAGCTGGTATAGAATTAACGGTCGAAGACCGTGGCCCATTTATGCCTCAACCATTTGCTGAATACGAAGGTCACACTGCTGACGTATTGGATGTGTCATGGAGCAAAAGTAACTTCATTCTCAGCTCGTCGATGGATAAAACTGTTCGCCTGTGGCACATCAGTCGAGCCGAGTGTCTTTGCGTGTTTCACCATGTCGAATTCGTTACTGCGATTGCATTTCACCCCCGAGATGACAGGTATTTAATAGGGATCTGTTCTTGCATATGTACGAAAAGTAAAGAGATAATAACCGACGCTCAACAGCTATAGGTATGTTGTCATTAATGCAACGTAGCACGCAATATTATTAAAGGTGGCTATGCCGCAATTAAAATAAGCTTCTATTATAGAAATATTTAATGCCAGTAGCAAATTGTTACTTCAAATTCACCAATACTCTATCTATCCACTTTTATTAAAATCGGAACATATTCTCTCGCCAATTTTTTAACAACTTATTATGTGATTATCATTACTTTTCCACATATTTTGCTTATAGATATTTTTTAAGCGGTTCGTTAGACGGCAAACTCCGCTTGTGGAATATTCCTGATAAGAAAGTGCATCTATGGAACGAGCTGGAAGGCACTCATACAAAACTGATTACTTGTGCCAATTTTTGTCAAAATGGCAAATTTGCTGTTGTTGGTTCGTACGATGGTCGATGCGTATTCTACACGACCGACCAACTTAAGTACTATACACAGATTGCGGTGCGCAGCTCGCGCGGTAAGAATGCCCAAGGAAAGAAGATCTCAGGAATCGAGCCAATGCCCGGCGAAGACAAAATACTTGTAACTAGTAACGATTCCCGAATTCGCCTTTACGATCTCAGAGACCTGACGCTCTCGTGCAAATATAGGTACAGTATAGTGCAACGACGTCTAATTATTTTAAGATGCAATAGAAATACATGCAATACGATTTTCTAAAAAATGTAATCAAATACAAAACCAGAATTGCTAAATTCGGACTCCGAATGTTAATTTAAAGAAAAAACTGTTCAGGCTTCTAGTTCTAGAAACGGCGCAAATATCTAAACGTTCTTTTTTTTTGAAGATTTATGCTAAACTGCACGGACTCTGCAGTACGTTTAGTTTGTATTTTGTTTATGTCTAGTAAGTAGACAACTGAATATACAAGCTGGTTCTAGTCAGTTCTTTGGGTGCCTTTATTAACATGTTTTTTAATATAATACTATTAAAAGTTAATATAATACTGTAACTGTTTGGATGTGGTCTGTTGTGTTCCAATAAAAATACCCGGCGCGCGTGACCACTTACGAGCCGTTCTCTGGGGCTCACTGGCTATTCTCACTAATGCACTACATGTTGGGGTTTTACTTGATATTTACAGAGGTCTGGTGAACAGCAGCAGCCAAATCAAAGCCACATTTAGCCCAGATGGACGATACGTGATTAGTGGCAGCGAAAATATGTTTACCTATATCTGGAAAACCTACCATGACCACTCAGCGTTTTCCTCAGCTAGGCGAGACCGCAATGCCTTTTGGGAGAACATCAAAGGTAAGTAGCACTCCGCGAACTCTGCGAATAGGAAGCTTCTCGGGCCGAAAGTTGTCTTAAGATAATATTTGATAACGAATAAAAGGAGACAGATATATCTTGTATACCTAACAGAAATAAAAGCAAGGTAAGCGAGGTAATAGGGTTGATCCAGTTCGCTTATACTACCGACTACTGTATTAGCATTTGTACGTTTCAGGGAAGCAATCATTTCTTTGAATCCTAATGTTTTTCCCCTAAAGTTTCCCCCGTTTCTAATGTTTGGTCTCTCTTTTGTTCTTATGTTTTCTATATTCATTAACGCGCGTTTGACTAGTTCACGATGCTTCGGTCACATCCGCAGTGTTTGCTCCGAAGCCGGATATCATCACGAAGCAGCTGGATGATGCGCTTGTTCCACCTTCGGTAGCGTCGGAAAGCGCCAAAAATTACGTAATTGTTTCCGCCGATTTTCGGGGTGAGATTCACGTGCTAGCGCATTCGATGCGTCAAAGTGAATGATCCGGTCGCCCGGGACCGCTGTTGGCCGTATGCTGCAGCAGTGGGCCCAATGATGATCAGACTTGTGAAGGAGGCGATCGTGATGATAGGACCAGCGGGGTTGTTGGTACCCTTGAAAGCTGCATTGCTATAACCGGCACTGGAAAAAGGCTCGGGTCCTACAGGCGACGAACACCTTAGAATAACTGTTTGGTTACTTATAGAGGCAAGGGAAGCCTTCGAAGGTTACCCAAATGTTTTCACATGAATGATCAATACAATAATTTATTACCAGGAGGAGGAAAGTTGCCTGAAAGGGAATTCTTGTGGATTTGTTACCGATCAACGGTGACGTTAATACTTAATGCCAATAAACAGGGCAGTGTGCGACATGGCCCAGCTAAAGTGACACAAAGGACGAGAAAAAATCGAACGAGCTAGTCAACGAAGCTTGGAGAAGGAAACCTGTTCTTGTTTTTAATCTAGTGAATTGTCACGCACAGAACCACGTTAACAGAAACACTTATTTGAGGAGAATGGTACAACAGCAGATATAGTGGAAGGTTGCAGGCATGTTATATATTAACATAAATTTGAAATTGGCCACAAAGAGAGTTAAGAATAGACAAAAATATACACCGGTTAAAAACGAGTGATTATAGACGTTATCCAACGGTTGAGTGAGATTTCCACGATCGAGAACTGTTGGAAGACCCCATAAGTCCTAGGCCTGTCGATATACACAAATTTAAATGCCTGATGAAGAATCAATGGGTGGCGTCCACTAAGTAAGCAAGATCTATGTAGATGCCAAAACATGAGTTATGTTGATTAAGTGATACCGCCAAGATCGTTCGGTAATACAAGAAAGCCTAAGCCTATATACATACAGCCACGAGCATGGCAACGTGTCTGTGAATATAATTATTAAGTTCTTATAATGTGATCCACCTGGAATTGACTGAGACTGGTCGGTTAATCCTAATGACCACATATACTGTATTTATTATGATGGCGTTTATACCCTTGCAAATAATCAGTCGCAAAGGTATGCAAAAAGATAAATATATTTTACACTTTGCAGCAACACATTGTAATACAGTAGTTTGAGATTGAAAATCACCAGACGATAAGATAAATTGACTTTCCAGAGGTTTTCGTTATTGCGTTAAGAAATGATATGATAAGAAATCCTTCATGTGGTGAATGATATTACTACAGTCTCTGTGCCACAGCATTTGTGTTTGTCCTGAAAAAACAGAACAAGGGCATAATAGGTGTGGGTATATGTAGGCCAGCAACCACTGCGGTAAACGCAATGAGCGACTTTGTAATACTATGTAAACAACACAACAGGACGCGCCAAACCATTGTTGGACAACTATTGTTACGGCGACGCAGAAAAACGAAAAAGGAATGACTTTGTGAGTAGCGCGCGGAGTACTGAAGAGTGTTGATGCTGGTAACCGTTGGAGAAGCAAAAAAGTGAATCCGTGTAGAACTATATGCAAGCATACGTTATATAACAATGACAATTGCGATTGCTTAGTCGAAAGCGTACCTTTGACGTTTCTTTCTACCTGCAATGTATATACAGTACACTATTAGTAAAAATACGCGTAATGAATATATGAATAGCTAGATAATTCGCTAAATGTTCGAGGATGGCGACTACTGCTAGAGGCATAATTAGGAATATGAAGTTGGATGATTTATTTCAGTTTATCTGTTGAAGCAAGGTGAAAATCGAAAGAAATTAGGTACTGTAGCCTTATCATGTACGTTAAGTAGATGCATATTTCAAGTTAAACAATAGACACGCACAGATACAAAACAATCAACCATTCGAACGTGTTGGCAATTATTAGCTGAACGAAATTTTTACTGTTATTGTCTGCGTTAATTTAACTGCTTATCAAGACAGGTCAAGACGAGCTTCCATTGGTACCTGGTAATCGATGGTCCACAATGAAGTCGGCAACGGTTGGTGAGTTACCGTCGCTACACTGAAACAAATTTTATACCTCGTTACTCATTTTTCAAGAGCTATTCTGGTCCAAGCTTAAGGCTGTTACTCAATCTCCGTAAGATTCATTGAATCCACCAAGCTAAGTGAGCCGGTTTCAGACTACAGAAGGGCGAATAGATAAACTTTTAATAAGTCATTATACAGCTCTGTCCTTTTGCCGATAACACGATTTGATAGAATAATGAAATCCGCTAATCGTTTGTCGTATTTGGCTACACTAAAGAAGATACTCTTTATTGTTTCCGATAGCTGAAAAATGGTATCTACTTCTACAACCAGCACCAGCAGAATGATATGCGCAGTCTATAATTGCGTACACGTTGCTTGAGGGAAGTGGAGCAACTACTGCCGAATCATTTTTTTTCGCGCCAAATTTGTTGAATGTTAGTTTTCGCGCAATGGGCCATATTTGCGGTCCTGTTGAATAAATGATCTAATACAATAGGTTTTTTGTATTAGTCAACGATGTCCAAAACATCCAAGTCATAAAGCAAATACGCTACACAATCAACTGTACACCTACTTTTTTGGTTCTTATTTTTTCTAATATAAAAGCATTATGTATACGTTTTGCAGTTACACGAGGAGGAAGAGAAAACAGTGAATCTTTTCTTAGGTAGATACGCTCATTTAACTCTGCGGCTGAGCACCTGCTTGAATTAGACAAAACATAAATCATAAAGATGCTAAAGATGACCGACCTGTGACGTTGTGGTATATATTTATATACATATATATATATATATATGAACTGCCACAATAATAAACATGATTTTTATTACTATGAAGTTGATTGCTAGTACCCGTTTGTGCATAGTACTGATTCCTCGATGTAGAATGGTTTGATTACGGGCTGACACTGGTTCATGGTGCAAATCCACTGCTCGGTTAAAAATATTCCACTGTCAGCTATAATCGAAAGTATACAATATATCAATACAAAACCACCTATATTCTTAAATTACATGCTTGGAGAATAAAAACATAATTGTAGTGTTCAAAGGCATAATTGCTAGATCTGTACGGCCCAACACATTCCATTCTTAAAAATTAGCAGACGTAAAAACAATGGCAGTTCACGTATTATTCAAATAGTCTAATCGCATCCGGACCTTCAAACCACCTGTCTGTAAAAAGTTGCTCATACTTGGTAGAGATATACTAAAAAGCGTAATGTTTTTAATCAGTTGCTAAGTCTTTATTTTGATGCGCTAAAGATCCCTTTCATGCGCTGTTACGATTATTACTGTTGCTATACTGTAGTACTTTATAATTAATTTCATATTGAGGTGGGCTGATGTGGATGTTTTCGCACAGATCTAACCAGAGGCACAATCTTTATCATCCTCTGATGCTTGGTAGTATATAACTCGAACTCGGAAAATTTTTCGGTTAATAGGGGCTCTTCGATTGCTCTCGTCAACCGTGGTTCATATTTCCAATATTGTGTATATTTTGATAAATTATTAAACAAAAAAAAAACTTGCGCGTAAAAGCGAATAAGCCATAGGACAAAAAATGCTCCTTAACAAACCGAAATAAAAATTTAGGCAACTAGAACGTTATGAGAGATCTTTTCGTTATGGAAGTGAGACAGCACGATATATAAACATAAATGTTGAAACACTAACACATATAAGAGAGACCCTGGTAGAAAGTGACAGAGAATTGTATACTGTAGATTTTGAACAACGCAAAACGAGGCACAAAAGGTTTTTGCCGTTAATGTTAGTCTACTAAATGAATTATTGATTAGGTTATAAACTATTACTGTATCAACTCATAAGTATCTTATCGTATGTGATATAAACAATGTTCATGTTTTCATATCCTAGTGGCGTGATTACTTACATATGTTACCGTAGGTATCAAATAGAACTCACGGCCTTTTCTTGGCGAACACATCCACGACCCTTGTTTATTCATTAGCACTGTTTATCGCATCGTGCTCTATCGTTACATTAATTAATTAATACAAAAATTACTAATTACATTGCTACGTGGATTGATTAGAGTAAGCGATATTCAGGTGGGTGGTTACGGAAAAAACATTTTTTAAAAAAGTACGATTTGATATTATGGTGACTCGTTTCATGTAATTGGCGCACATGTCTGTGTTTTCGAAGAGACTAACTAAATGAGTCTCGGGCGCCCCCTTAAAGAGCTATGAAAGCCAAACCCTAGAAACGAGGCTCGGTCTTAAAGTTTTGGACGATCAAGACTGGGAGCTTACAGATGAGAAATTCAGTCGATTTTTGGTTACGACGAATCTCAAGAAAGGCGTTTTTAGTACCCGTGACTGACTTAGCAGCGGTCTTTGTGACCAGCTACTCATGAAGGCCTTGCCTCCGAAAGAGTTACGAACGCTCTGCTGAATACGAGCATAATTCAACATTAGGTTCTTGGAGAATGATGTTCAATAACTTTTATAGACGAAAAGAGAATAGAACATGGCAGGAAGCCACAAAGGCGTCACTTGAAAGAGTATACCGAAACACCACAAATGAAAACCCTTTCTTTAGAAAATGTTTAGGTGCTATATAGACAGGATCTAGCCGATTCGCTGGCACCCGTAAGTTCCATTGATGGCTATTAAAATAGGTTCAGCAAAAAGACAGATCTACTCGTCCGTTTTGTTAATCGATGTAAATCATGTCTGGACGTGGCAAGGAAGACTAGGGCTTCGGAAAGAGAGGCCCCAAACGTCATCGTAAAGCCCTTTGTGACAACATTGCTGGTATTACCAAACCCGCCATCCGTTGTTTTGAGCGCCGTGGCGGTGTCAAGCGTATTTCGGGTCTGATCTGCACAGTTAAATAACAATATGTATATAAACTAAAAAACCAGTGTTGCCTGATGTAAAATGGCAACTAACCCAACTTACCTAACAATTTCGATAAGTAGATCGCACATAAGCGCTCACTTACACGAAGTTAGTCCATATGTCTCCAGTATTTGATTTTTTCTTTTAACTTATTATATTGTACATCCATGTACAGTAGGTGCTGATAATAAAATAATAAATCAAAAGTACTTGCACCGTTTGATCTCCTACTATGTGGTGACCCTGAAAAGAGCCGTTTTTAAAGCACCAGCGCTTAGATATGGGCTTTTCGGTTTTTTGGGGAGGAGGACAGCTTGAATATTAGACAATACACTACCCTGGCCGAGGGTCACTCCAGAGAGAAGCTTATTCAATTCTTCATTGTTACGGATGGCGTGCTGAAGATAGCAAAGTATAATCCAGGTATCTTTACTGTCACGAAGAGCATTACCAGCCAACTAGAGTGACTAAAAGGAGCAAGATACTCAAGGACGGCAGCGAGGTACAGGGGGCAGCAGCTCCGACACACTCAGCATAGCTG